ATATAAAATTAATTATTTTGAAAATAAAATTGGTTTTCAAACTAGGAATTATAATATATTATTTATTCTCTAATCTTTTAATATATAATAATCTGAATTGTTTTTCCTTTTTATATTATATTATATATAATATCCTTTATCAAAATTAAACTATATAATATATTGATCAAAGAACTTAAAGAATAGATATAGAAAAAGATAACTTATTTGAATTCGAAAGGAAATATTAAAATAATCTGAATATTTTATATTATATAATAGGGTCCCCAATTAATATTAAGTTATTATATATGTTTTAAAGTTTATTAATAGCTTTAATAATATTCTTAAAAATATAAATTTAAAATGATATTATAAAGAGTAATTGTAGGTTGACTTGTAGTATAAATTGAAAGGTTGAATATTATATTATTGAAAGGAGGAAGAAGGTTTAAAAGGTAATTCGAATAAGATCTTTAAAAAGGTGATTTCGAAAGAGGTTCAAGAAATTTCGAAAAGTAATATTATTTGAAGATTGAAATAAAGAAATCGAAATAAAGAAATTGAAAGGAAAAGGGATTTTGAAAGGTATTATAGCTTATAAATTATTAATAAAGATATTATAGAGAATGTAGTATATTATATTGAAAAAATAAAGCAATTTATAATATTTAAAAGGTGTTTTTTATAACTAATAGTTTATAATTTGAAAGAAATTAAGAGAAAATTAGAAATTATATTTATTTTGCTTTTATATAGATTATTAGAAAAGAGATTAAATATATATTAAAAGGAATAAAAAGCTTGATTATATTTCTATAAAAGATTAAGGCTATTTAAGGTACTAGAAAGCTAGTAAAACTATATTAGAGGGGGCTATAGTATTTACTTTAGTATCTAGTATAGAGTATATATAAAAGATATATAAAGATATAAAAAGATATATAAAGATATATAAAAGATATATAAAAGATATATAAAAGATATATAAAAGATATATAAAAGATATATAAAAGATATATAAAAGATATATAAAAGATATATAAAAGATATATAAAAGATATATAAAAGATATATAAAAGATATATAAAAGATATATAAAAGATATATAAAAGACATATAAAAGGTATAATTTACTTAATAATTGATTTTAATATAATAATAGAGTCTCGAATTCGCTATCTACGAGCTCTGTCTCTATTTAGAATACGTTGAGCCGCTCCGAAAAGAGTTCGAATAGTTAATGAGTATTAGGTTGATGGGTATTAGATATTAAAGTAAATATTATAGTCCCCTCTAATATAGTTTTATTAGCTTTTTAGTATCTTAAATAGTCTTAACCTTTTATAGGAATATAATTAAGCTTTTTATTTCCTTTAATATATATTTACTCTCTTTTCTAATAATTTATATAAAAATAAAACGAATATAGTTTCTAATCTCTTTTTGATTTCTTTTAAATTATAAGCTATTAGTTCTAAAAAATATTTTTTAAATATTATGAATTACTTTATTCTTTTCAATATAACATATTATAGTTTTCTATAATATCTTTATTAATAGTTTATAGACTGTAATATCTTTCGAAATCCCTCTTTCTTTCGATTTCTCTATTTCAATCTCCGAATAGCATCACTTTTCGAAATCTCTCGAACCTCTTTCGAAGCATTCTTTTTGAAGACCTTATTCGAACTCTATTCGAACTCTTTTCGAACCTTTTTCGAATCTCCTTTCTCTTTTCAATAATACGATATTCGACCTTTCAATTTATATTATAAGTCAATCTATAATTATTCTCTATAATATCATTTTAAGTTTATATAATTTTGAAAACATTATTAGAGCTATTAGTAGATTCTAGAGTATTGTATAGTAATTTAATATCAATTGGGGACCCTATTATATAATATAGAATATTCAGATTATTTTAATATTTTCTTTATTAAGTTATTTTTTCTATATCTATTCTTAAGTTCTTCAATTAGTATATCATATATAGTTTCAGTTTCGATAAGGAATATTGTATATAATATAATAGATAGAAAAAACAATTCAGGGCTTTATATATTAGGAGATTGAAGAATAAATGATGTATTATAGTTTTTAACTTGAAAGCTAGTTTTATTTTCAAAACAATTGATCTTAAATTTCAAAAAATAATTGGATTTTCTATATAGGAATATATAATTCTTTTTTAAAATAGATTAAATACTAAAATAAATATTATAATTCCTTTTAATATAATTTTACTAGCTTTTTAATACTTTAAATAGCCTTAATCTTTTATAGGAATATAATCAAGCTTTTTACCCCCTTTAATACATATTTACCCTCTTTTCTATATTAGTTAAGGGAAAGGAAGTAGAAGTGTAAGGGAAGAGAGGAAGAGAGGAGGAGATAGAATAGAGTTGAGTTGAGTTGAGTTGAGTTGAGTTGAGTTGAGTTGAGTTGAGTTGAGTTGAGTTGAGTTGAGTTGAGTTGAGTTGAGTATTAAATATTAAGTATTAAGTATTAAGTATTAAATATTAAATAGAATAAAATAGAGTATTAAATACGATTTATTATTAATAGATAAAATAAAGAAATAAGGGATTATTCTTTAATTAGTAGTAGTAGTCGTGGGTTATTAATTAGTTTTATGATATAGTATAGGCTTGAATACACCTGAATCCGTCTGAATACGCCTGAATAAGCTTGATCACAATGAATGATTCAATTCCATCAACTTTTCTCCCTATAATCGTACAACATGATTCAGAATTGATCGGTAGGTAAGTAAATAAGTAATCCAATCTAAAAATATCTAGGTTCAGCTATAAGATTAGCCGCCTTTTTTTTTAAAGCTTCGAGAAGAGGTATGTATGTACGGTATGAAATGAAATGAAATGAAATGCGAGAAAGTTCATTCATTGAGTCGTATGCACAGAGACTGATACGATAATGGTTCCTCACATGTAATACCAGAACAGAGTCAGCATTTGATTCATCGGTTCGATGGAATTAAGATATGGCTTACGATAGAAGAGAACTAATCGATATTGAGATCGTGGTAGTGTACCTAGTGTATGCTACCGTGTTGTGGGAGAAGAGGGTATCCGATTAGAACCGGACCGGCCGTCCACTGACTGGTGTTTGGTTTGAGGGTTACGCCGGATGCTAGGGGTGTGGTGGAAGGGATGGGCATTGGTGGTGGAAAGTGTGGAAGCATGGAAGCATGGAAGCATGGAAGCGTGAGCATTGAAGCATGGAAAGCGTCTAATCCTTAAATCCGATTTGGATTGATGCATTTACACGAGGGAGAAAGATACTTAAGAGTAATACGGTAGCATAGGAATAATTGATAGAAGTCGAGTAAAAGCGTAGCTAGTCAATATTGAGATGGTGAAGATGTACTCACTATGACTCCTAGAGAGGTCAAGCCTCTCCAGTCTCCAGTCTCCAGCCTCCAGTCTCAAATCTCCAATCCACTCGACGTTTCAAAACGCCTCACCTCGTGCTGACCCTCCTATCCTGTCATAATAATTTCCTTTCTCTCCCTTCCATGGCTTCTATCGTATCCTTCCATGATTCCATCACTTCACCCCAACCAATCCGAAGCACGCATCTCACAAACCACTGCCAAGTTGAACCACTCATCATTACGAACTCACCGTCTCACACTTACTTTTGCCATGCGAAGCCATGCAGATGCCATGTGTATTGGGAGCCTGTACCGGAACCCCTGGTTACATTTCCCTGGCCTAGGTCGGAGAGAGGGACCCTCCTTTCATTCAGAATATATTAACTGGATCAGATCATCCTCAAAGGGAACTAGAGTTGTGAAAGGAATCCACTATGCCCGATTTGTGAATGGAAAAAAGACTTTGCACAGTAATGGATTATGAGGGATGAGATGGATCATGGATGAGATGGATCTTGATGATATAATTGGGATAGTCCACACTTACGACGGCTTACGGAGCATTCATTACATAGTATGCTGGTCCATGTGGCTGCTTCATGGCATTGGATTGGCATGGGTGATATTTTCCTTTTGGTTGTGGAGATCCTTTTTAATGCTTGAAGTAGGTAATGATACTGTGTGTAGGATATTGTGTGTAGGATATTGTGTGTAGGATATTGTGTGTAGGATACTGTGTGTAGGAGTATGTAGTATGTAATATGTAGTATGTACATGTATTATATGTATTATACCTAGTGTGTATCTCATGAGCTTACGGAGTATGTATCATGTATCATGTATCAATGGACTCTATCTATATTCCCATGTACTCTATTCCAATGCTGAGGATGCTCATACCATACTCTGTGTAGAACGGAAATGGATTTGACAATGCCCTTAGAACTACCAGGGAATGAACTTCTTGCTGTACTTGCTGTCCTTACCAGGTATTCTGTAGTTGACTCTCTCAATACCCAGTCACAAGCATGGTTTTGCATCTTTAATGCAGATAGATGTACGCTGTACAGCTGATGACATTGCTTTTGATTATATATTGGTGATAACGATACCTATGTAGGTGATGGATGGATGAGATGGATGGTACTGAATTGAATTGAACTGAATTGTCGACGGATGTCAAAGGAAAGAGAGGGTATCTCATTGGATTCAATTCAATCAATTCAATCAATTCAATCAATTCATTCAGTTTATTCATTTAATGTCAAATCAAGCAATCATCTCAAACTAAATTCAATCAACCACATATTGGTATTAAATCCTACTCGTGGATCCTTTGAAAAACTCCCAACTGCTCACTGCTAACTTCTACATTGACCCCCATCCAAATTCCACATAGATATGCACATCTATATCCAGATTCATCTTCATCTCCATCTGCATCTCCATCCATCTCCATCCATACCCATCCATACCCATCCATATCCATATCCATATCCATATCTCCACCATCTAAATCAACCTGTACGAGTACACTCAGTAGTAATTCATCATAAATTATCTTCAAAAGGCGGCGTGTGGTCCGTTCCCGAACAACAAGACAATTCCTTATAATTGTAATTGTAATTCTTATTATTATTGATCATTTTTCTTTCCCTTTTCTTTCCTTAAACAGATCTCGCTGGGGAGAAATTCCTTTGATCAATTTCTAGTCATTGTCTCTAGTCTCCGGTCTCTAGTTTCTACTCTCCAATCTCTAGTCTCTAATCTCTGACACCAAGTTTCATCCTAAACATTCCAAAGGAAACGAAGAAGGAAAAAAAGAAGATTCTCGTCCCGAGAGGAGAGACTACCACCCTATCCCATCCCATCTTTGTTCTTCCAAATTCTACACCGTCTTGTTCGAGAGGTCTTCAATTTACTCAATTTACTCGTACAAGATAATTCATTTCTATACTTGTAAATTCTCCACACAAAGGAACACTCTTTCACTCCTTCAACTTAACTTAACTCGACTCAACTTAACTCAACTTAACTCAACTCCATTTCACTTATATTCACTTCATACAACAACATCATCTTGCAACTTCCCATTCCAGAAAATTAATATCAATAAAAGATCCGACCCGAACCAAAACCCTCCATCTTTCGGTTATCTCGAGATTCAGATCACTCTCGCATGATTTGATAGTTTTGCGCCGAATGTCTCCATTTACAAATTCAATCGCATTTCCTTAGAAATTTATTGGTCAAATCGAGGATAAGGGGAGATAGAGTCTTGATTTCACCCAGACTTTTGCGCCCATGGGAAACAGCTCTGGAAAGCCGGTGAACTTCGAAGATGAAGGTATGATTATGATTGCATTTTGGTTGAGCGAGGATTCAGTGGCAAGAGAATGTGCTAGGAATTCCTCGAATGCTCGAGGGCTTCCGAGTCTTTGTTACCGCTACCATCCCACCACCATGAGTCCCTTTTGCTGACAGATGACTTCTTCAACGATAGTGAGCCTCAATCATTTTCGACTTCTGCGAGTGGTTGGAAAGGGTGCTTTTGGAAAAGTAAGGATAGTAGAGAGGAAGGATACCGGATTGACGTTTGCGCTCAAGTACATTCGCAAGGATGAGGGTTGGTGATACTTGATTCCAATCTGGAACGACTACTGATTTCTGGAAAATATAGTCGTTCGACAAGAAAGCGTCCGGAATATAATTCGAGAACGACGAATGTTGGAGCATCTAAATCACCCATTTATTTGTAACTTGCGATATAGTTTTCAAGATATTGAGTACATGTACGTTGACTTGCATCTGGACCTGCGTCTAGACCGGGACCACCAGCACTCACTAACCTTTCAACAAACAGGTATCTAGTCGTCGATTTAATGAACGGAGGAGATTTACGCTTCCATATTTCGAGAAAGACCTTCACCGAGGAAGCTGTTCAATTTTGGATTGCCGAACTTGGGATTGCATTAAAGTACATACACAAGCAGGGTATCATACATCGGGATGTCAAACCTGACAATGTTTTATTGGATTCCGAGGGGCATATTCATTTAGCAGATTTTGTTTGTCCTCCCAAGAACACGTCCCGAGTATGAACACAACGCTAACATCCTGCAGAATGTTGCATCGGATTACACTTCACACAGACTATTAACGAGCAAATCTGGCACTCTAGCGTATCTCGCACCCGAAGTTTACAAAGGATGTGGATATGGCCCTGGCGCAGATTGGTGGTCATTGGGAGTACTGTTCTACGAATGTATCTACAATAAGGTATGCTTCGACTCACTTCCAATATCCTGTCAACCCCACTTTTCACTTTTCAATGCTAACCAATGTATCCAGAGGCCATTTGAAGGTAGCACACAGACAACTCTCGCAGCACAGATAACCAAAGCTTCACCGAATTTCCCCATCACTGCACCAGCCGTTTCTATGCCATGTTTACATGCCATTAGCTCAGCTCTCGAGGAGGATCCAGCGAAGCGAATGGGTTCAGCCGGATTCGAAACTTTTACCGATAACCCTTTCTTCAGACCCATAGATTTCGAGGCACTCGAGAGAAAGGAAATCGAGCCAGTCTTCGTTCCATCCAGTGAAAAGACAAATTTCGACGCTACTTATGATCTCGAGGAATTACTATTGGAGGAAGCACCTTTAGAAGCTCGGGCACGTCGACAAAAACCAAGAGAGGCTCTCAAGGAGGATGCGACAGAGAAGGAAATCAAGGAAGAAGAACTCCACAAGATGATTGAAGCTCAATATACGACATTTGATTACACCAAGGCAGCGTATGACAGGTTAGCACTCTCCTACAACCCGTTTCCCCTTATGCTAACTCAATCTCCTTAGATACAATGAAGGTGGTGATCCAAATTCTCCGCCTCCGGTTTCACAAAATGTTAGCCCGTCGACTCCAGCATCACAAACTTCTGATGAATTTCCAAAGGCCACTCTCACGCGCACTTTATCTAAGAATCGCAAGAGAGCAGCTTCGCGGTCTCAGCCATCTTCACGTTCTGAATCACCATCGAATAGTGCAAATATTCCACCAGTTCCCAACTCGCAAATTCCTGGCTCTCAACAACCTTCCCAAAATACTAGCCCTGTATTAGGACCTCCTCGTTCCGTACCTCATTCACATTCACCAAGTACCACCAAAACACCCTTATCACCCTATCAACAATCATATAACCGCCCTCATCGTCCTGGTGGAATACGCAAGGAATCACAAGGTGGTGGTATGCAAGTGGTTTTAGGCGAAACTGGAAGTTGGTCAGAATTGGCCAAGCAAGATGCAACCCTACCCGCAGATGCTAAATTAGTAGAAGCGCATGCCAAGCCAACTGGTATGTTAGGATTCTTATCGAGAAAGAAGGGTAGAGGACACAGTCCCAAGCCACAGGAGAGGGGTATCTTAGGAAAGGAAGGTGCAAGAGTTATTATAAGCCAAGGTTGAAAATGTATTGAATCAGAATGATTCGATGAGACATTTCAATCCTATTGGTACCCATTTACGAATTTCCGGTACACAATTTCCTTTGGTGCGATCAATGTACATTCATTGCATTCGTTGCATTTTCAAGGGGGGCAAGCGGGAGTTTTATCACTTTTATTTTACCCGATCATACGTACGCGGCTTTCTCACTACTCGAGCATGCTGGACTTTTAATTTCTTTTTCTACATATTTCTTTTGTTCATGACAGATATGCTGGAGGAATTATGAACTCCATGTGGTTTTTTTTTCTTACGGAGAGGGAGATGTAAATATTAAAAGAGAAGCGATCGAATAGGCATCTGCCTTGCGAGGAACGATCGGTACTTGAAGCGAACGAAAGACTCGAACTCGAATCTGGGATATGATTTTCATAGGACTAAATATGGAGGTACTGGTGGAATGGAAATGATCTCTAGGATTGAGTATCGCTTTACATTCTACTTTTGAGGGTTGGGGGGAAGAGGATCGATGAAATAAGTTGGGATAGGATGTGATGAGATACCTAGTAGATACCATTTGGAGAGGGAAACCGAGATTGCAATCTTTAGGATATGCGAATACGGTATGGGATAGGGGATATTCCCGGGAATTGGAATTGGTGATGGGTATGGTATGATATGGATATGATGGTTGATAGAATATGATGGGGTAGGGTAGAATAGGATTGGATTGATTTAGTTGAGTTGAGTTGAGTTGGATTGAGATAGAATATGGGAGGAATGGATGGGTGGATGGATGGATGGATGGATGGAATAAGATGAGATGAGTTTGAGTACTTTTGTAGATATGATACCAAGATGAAATACGAAGCATCTTTTCTCTTTTTTTTATTTTGCTGTTTCTTTTTGATCTTGATCTTGATTTTGATTTTGACTATGACTATGACATTGATTTTGAAATTGTATATATGCTTAAAGATAAGGGAAAAGTAGAAATCAAGATAGATATAGAGAGAGAGAGCTTTTTATATTTAAGATTTATTTTGCTCTTTCTATTGTTTTTCAATTAGAGTTTTAATTTTTTTTATCTAAAATTTTATAATTTATTAGAAATTAATTTTTAAAAATTTATAAATATAATATTATTTAATAATATTAATTATTGTAGTTTGAAATAATATTATAGATGTGATATCGAAATAGTGATATAAAATCTATAATGATTATATAGATTTATAATTTTGAGGTTATTCATAAAGTATAAATTATATCTGAACCGCAAAACATACTGGGCTTTTTCCCTTAAGGTATATCTAAGTACCCAGGAGCTAATATATTTAAGTGAACAAGTGACCTCCCTCATTAGATATTTAATATCTAACGTCATCAAATCAAACGACTAACTCTCCCTCACAAATCTATAAAAAATTCCACTAATCGCCACCAGCAAACCACCACATACCAAAAACACTCCGCGTCGATACTCTTCTCCTTCTCTCACTAGCGCTAGACTAACCACGACGAAGATATTCAATGGAACTCTCAGTGCGCCATAGATTCGGGCTCGCACACCATCTTCGATCCATTTCCCCTTGAGGGATCCGACGGATGGGAAATACATACCGACCATTGCTTCGAAGGTGCAGAAGGCGTAGAAGGTGTAGTGTTGATTTTCGGTGAGGAGGGGAAAGAGGAGGGAGATGGAGGAGAGGGCGAAGATGATGGTGAGGAGACGGGTTTGGGTTAGCGAGGGGAAGGTGGAAGAGAGTTGGGTGAAGGTGAGGGAGCCGAGCATGACTGAGGACATGAAGGAGGCGAAGATCATGCCGAGAGGGAGGGGTGGGGAGGAGGGAGATGGTTGGGTGGATTTGAGGAAGGGGGTCCAGAAGAAGACGAAGAGGTACATGCTGCCTTCGAAGAAACAGGAGGCGAGACCGAGAGTGAAGATTCGTGGGTTGGTGAAGATTAAACTGAGGGCTGAGGTTGTGGGAGGGGGAGATTTGGAGGTGCGCGAGGGAGCATTAGCGTTGGGTGAGGTTGGGGACGTTTCGGAGGTGCCAGAGGTGGACTTTGGGGCTTTGGTTGCACTATCGCCATAGTTTTCGGTCTATTGAAAATATGATTAGCTAGGGACAGAGACTTCTCTAGAAATGGAAGATCTTACCCAATATATAGTAATGATATATGCAGAAATTCCCAAAAGACATGCAGAAGCCATAAATGGCATTCTTCTATCATCTGTAATCTGAACCAACCATTCGCTAAAAACACCTGACAAAATAGCCATGACACTATTTAAAGTAGACATGACTCCAAACAAACTATTCAGACTCATCCCAGCTTTTTGTATATTCCTTTTATGATATTCCGTAACCATCCAACTTTCAAAAGCGCTAAACATCAAGCTTGTACTTAAACCTCCAAAGATTCGTCCAACAAACAGTATCGGAGTGCTAGGAAAGATGGTTGAAAAACACGAAAGCGAATAGGTAAGACAGAAGACGAGACATGCTGATTTGCGACCATATTTATCTGCGAATGATCCGACAAAGTATCCTGATATGCCACCAGATAGAAAGCCAGTGGTGAAGAGTAATGCTACGATTTTCTCATCCAGTCCAAATTGATCTTTGTAAAGACTGTAAACGTAGGGACCTATTTGAATGTCAGTAATGTGATGACTATCTAATCAAGGGATATACAGTACCTTGAAGCCAATCTGATGCCATCACAAGACAATAGACAGTAAGGAATAATTTGGTGAAGCGACTTGCTTCTGCCTTTGCTAGAGGGGCAGTATCATCATTGTTTTTCCTATCTTCTGTGGACTCTTCTTTTGTTTGATATTGTCGCCATGTAAGAAGACCACATGCTGATATTAATACCAGGAATGCGCCATCATAGAAATTCATATTGAAGAGCTGTTGAAGAGTTGGGTTGATGGGTTAATGGACCTAGGGAGGGGTACTTCCAACCAGCTTTATTGAATGGATTTCACGAGAAACAACGAAACAAAAATAATGCCAAATAAATCAATTGATAACTTTGTATGTTCATCTGAAATGGTACTTTGAGATGAATAAAAGGAAATGCCAAATATAAACCTACATTTATGACTCCCTGGTGTTTGAACATTGACATTGGGCGCGTCTCAGCTATGAATGGGCTTTGGCGCTTCATTTCTGTATGTTTGCGGAATTCGGTATTTGGAGGTTTTGATGCTGTGGGATTCTAATGGAGCTCCTCTTGGGCGGTAAATACCCTGTACGTCTGACTAAAACCAAATAGGGTGAAAGTGGCATGGCAGAATAATGAAAGGACTCCACCCCATCAACATCCTTAACCTTCACATTTTGGAACTCGATAATATATTTTATATACACAACCATGGATTGGTAATGGTAATTTTGTCCAAAATGGATGGTGATTGGGAGGAAGTGAGTTCTACTTTCCTTTATCGTCACAAAATGGGTTCTAAACTTTATCTCGTTATAACATGCTATGTTTATGTTGTTTCTCAGCCTTGTTTATCCCATGCCCTCAGCATTGTTATTCCACGGCACTGAGTTAGCTATCATGGCTTGCTCTAATCAAAGTCAAATTGCCTATGAAGCTCAACTCTCTATACGACAGATTGCTAAACATCTTAAAAAGGTCACTAGATTTCAGTTGCCGCCTTCGGGTGTGCATCCAGATCCTACACAAGCTCCTGCGAGAGCATTCGATTCATCTCAAGAGTTATTTTGGATTGGGGATGAACTGGGACGCGTTAAAAGTTTCTATGGTCTCGAAGGCATAGGATATACATCCTACAGGGCCGGTCAAGATCCAATTCGTCAATTTCTGTTCCATGATAAAGGAGTTATTTCAGTGGGAGGAAGAAGCGTTCATATGGCATCAAGGAGGGGCTTACACATATGGCACATTACGTACGACACTCCCCCAGGGAAGCTTTGCAGATCAGGACTGATACTTTCGCGGATATAGGCACGAAGATATGAAGGACTTACGATGTATGAGTTACACTTCGAGGGGGACATCAGAGATACTAGTTGCGGGGATCCAGGACCAGATGTTTATAATTGATGTGGACAAAGGGGTTATCACGAAACAGGTATAGTACTCCGCGAATATGAGGAATACTTTCTAAACTTCTAGGTACCTACGAACAATCACTATAAGATCATGAAAAGGAGCCGGTCCATTTGTGCAGCCACACCGACGGGGTCCGTTTGTATACTCGATCCTTACACCTACACCGTGACCAAGACTTGGCAGGCTCACACAGCACTCATCAACGATATGGATGTGCAAAGTGACTATCTACTCACTTGCGGATATTCAATACCACATCAAGGATCATCATACAGGCTTGATACTTTTGTCATGGTGCTTAATCTTAGGACGCTGTCGACTTTACCTCCTATTCCCTTTCCTCCAGGAGCAGCGTTTGTGAGAATGCACCCGCGAATGTTGACTACCTGTTATATTGTTTCGCAACAGGGTCAAATTCATATAGTTGATTTGATCAACCCGAATTCGAGCAACGTCAGACAAGCAAATGTTTTAACCACGTTGAGATCTCTAGAGATTGCAGCTACAGGAAACGCTATTGCTTTATCAGATATGGAAAACAGTGTACATATTTGGGGCTCGCGAGGCAATATTCGATTTGCCGAGCTCAGCAGTCCTATTGAGTTTGCGGATCCGGAGGATAAATCCGGAACTGGACCTATCGAATGGCGCGACGATACGTAAGTGTGGGAAACTCACCACTTTTTGGTCTTGCTAATTGAACATCAAACAGTCCATTGAATTCAGTCGGTATGCCATATTACCGAGAAAATCTGTTATCTGCATGGCCGAGTCATCTCATTTTCGAAGTCGGTGCTCCGCCTGTCAAGGTGGACCCAAATTGGATTATAAATCCTAAAGTTGGAGATGGGATGATTTGTGGCAAAAACGCAAGGAAGGATGTTAGAAGAAATCAGATAGAGAGTAGGAGAACGGCCGAGAGGACGCAACCAAGTATACAAACGCCAAAATTCTTGAGTGAAAGGGCTAGAGAAGGCGTTAATGATGCAACTCCTGAACGTGGTATTAATGAAATTGCCGAGATCATTAGGGATAAAGAGCTCCCTACTTTACAAGCAGGTAACAGTGCTTTCTACATGAATGTTGAGATTAAGTATAGCAAGTTTGGAGTCGATGATTTTGATTTTGGGTATGTACCAATTCCCCTTTCTGAAGCATTGGCTAATGTTGGGTAGATACTACAATAAGACTCCATATTCGGGGCTCGAGACTCACATCTCGAATTCATATGCTAATTCCTTGTTGCAAATAATGAGATTTACAATTCTCATTCGAAATTTTGCTTTGAAACACACTGCGACGGGTTGTGTTAATGATATGTGTTTGTTGTGCGAAATGGGTTTCTTGTTTGATATGTTGGAAAAAGCAGCGGGGACTGTATGTCAAGCGACGAACCTACTAAAGACATTTAGCCACATTCCAGAGGGTGAGTAACCTCTTGAAAATCATCTATACACTGCTGATATTTTGATAGCTAAGAGTATGCACTTATTGGAGGAAGAATCACGTGGAGTTTCAATCTCTACTTTACTTCAGTCATTGAATCAATTTCTTCTTATTAGGATTCCACAAGAATTCAAAAGCGTTCCTAGTGGGTCGAACATATTTGAGCGTGTTAGTACCTGATCTGATACTTTCGTCAAGATTATTGCTGATCATTTAGGTTTTTTCTATGCCCGTTACAATGAATATCAGGTGTGTCTTTTGTAAAAGTGAGCATACACGACCAGGAGGATCCTCTTCTGTTGAACTAACTTATCCGCAAACCCCACCTGTAAGTTCAGTACTTCAACAGCATTTGAATCATGCTAAATATGCCAGAAACCATATAATCGAAATGGCAAGTCACCATCAATGCCTAAGAAATCATTTTGTGAAATTTTAAAAGCAAGCATTGAACGAGAAACAACAAATCGCGGATGGTGTGGGACTTGTAGAAAATATCAAACTTTACAGACGAAAAAGACCATCCATACCTCACCACCAGTTCTTATGCTCAATGCAAATCTTACAACTCCTGAATCAAAACAGTTTTGGGAAACGCCAGGTTGTTTGCCAGAAGAGATAGGAACTATCATTAACATGGGTCAAATCTACTGTTATCAAGGCGAAGATTTGAGACTTCACATAGCACGTGGTGCTCACAACATTACTGTTTATTCTCTAGTTGGTTTCGCTGCGGAAATTGATGTTGGGCAAAATGAGAAACCTCATTTGGTATCTTTAATAAATGGTGAAATTCATACTCCTCTTTTGCTTTTGCATGTACTAATATATCATAGTTGCTCATTCTGCGCCAACTCCACCAGCAGAAAGTCAATGGCATCTCTTTAATGATTTCCTAGTTACTCCGATACCAAAAGAAGATGCTTTATCTTTTAACTCGAGCTGGAAATTACCATCCGTTATCACTTATCAAGTGAAGGAAACGAACAATAGGATTGACAATTCGTGGAAGGACAATTTAGACACTTCTCTTTTATTTGCCGATGAAAAGTTTGTTCTACTCTCTTTTCAACCTCTTACAAGTGCTAACAGACCTTAAGTACGCGCGTCATTAATAAAACTCACAAACCTCTCTCCCCAGATCGTGAGATGCCAACCGAAGGAACTCTCATAGCTCTCGATACTGAATTCGTCTCAATTCGTCAACCCGAAATAGAAGTCAACTCCGAAGGCGAAAGACAAACTATCCGGCCTATTGCACACGCTCTAGCACGTGTCTCTGTTGTTCGAGGCTCAGGTGATGATGAAGGATATCCATTTATTGATGATTACATCAATTGCAAAGATCCGATTATCGACTACTTGACGTCTTATTCGGGTATTAGTCCTGGTGACCTCGATCCACAAAGAACGAAACACAATCTCGTTTCTCTCAAGATTGCTTACAAGAAACTCTGGATTCTATTAAATCTTGGATGTAAATTTGTTGGTCATGGACTCAAAACAGACTTTAGAGTCATTAATATACAGATACCAAAATCACATGTCATTGATACAGCTGATCTTTTCTTTATACCATCCAAACAGAGAAAATTGGGATTGGCGTTCTTGGCATGGTATTTATTCAGAGAAGATATTCAAGTCGAGACGCATGATAGTATTGAAGATGCAAGAACCGCGTTGAGATTATGGAAAAAATGGGAAGAATGGACTGCGTCAGAAGAAGTTGGAGGGATGTTAGTGGAGGAATTGTTGATTGAAGTTTACAGACAAGGACAAGCGTGCAATTTTAGACCACCCAGTTTCAATGCTAGGAAAGAGAGAGCAAGAGAGAGAGAAAGAGAGGGGAGGGATATTAGTAGAACCAATACTCCACCGGCAAATGGTAACGACGATGGTGGTGTAAGCTTGAAGGGACCAAGTACACCGGTTCGAAAGCCACTTGGAACGTTACCGTTTGGCTCTGGGGGGGGTGGGACTGTAAATGGGAGTGGTTTTTCTAGCTTTGGAGGAGGAGGTAGTGGGTGGACGCCGGGTAAAGGAAGTCCATTACGGTGAGGTGATACGAGATGAAGGGGAGGGCGTGCCTTGGTCTTGATGGTTGAATGACTTGGATTAAGTATTATGGAAGAGGGGGGAGGCGGAGAGTAAAAGAAGGATGTAGAAGGAAGGTGACTCATTATAGTAAATAAATAGATTGAATGAAGAAAAAAAGTTTATTTGAAAGATTGAAGAAAGAGATTTTATATGTTGAAGTAATGAGTGTACTGTGTGATGACATATACTGGTTAACCCAAGAATTATTGTCCCTATACCCTTTGTTGATAGAGTGGATACACTACAGTGAAATGAATCTCTTTATTTACCGAGGCTATCCTATTAAGTTGCCCGAGCACCATCTGACTTCCACCCCTCTCCGCTCCACAACCATTCTTTATGTACCCTCACTTGTCCCCCTTCCTGTTGTCTTCTTTTATTCCCTTTATTCCTCACTCTCTGGTCCGTTCCATCCAACCGTCAACACCCAAACCTCTTTGATCCACAATCTCTAGATATTCTTCTCTATAACACATATCATATCAAATCAAATAACAAATCGAGCTTGTACTTTAGTATTTTCCGTCAGTATGGGAGAGATTCATATCATAGTCTTTAGTCATCCTACATAGTCTTAGACTGATATAGGATGTTAACGAATCAATGATTCAATCAATCTGGGACGACGTCTCTTCTCAAACTCAAGCATAGGAATCGAATCATATATTATCTTGATGAAAACGAGTTTCAATGTACCTCCTACTCACGGCTTCATTACTTCTGTCTTCATAGTATAATTTCCTTTTATTTTCTTCTCTTCTCTTTGTAATACCTGCTCTTCTCTCGCATTTACAAAAACGATATGAGAAAACTGGAGAGTGGTTGTTGGAAGACGTCAATGCCTGGGTACACCAGTGGGTGCACGGACTCACGGGACAGCGTGACAGGAAAGCACAATTTCATACCAAAAAGAGCTATTTTAATAATTTAATTAAAATTCAATGTATTATTGAATGTTTTTGAAATCGAAATATATTATTCTTTAAGTATTAAATAATATCTCTTTTGAAAGTAATTCGAAAAAAATGCGATTTGAGCTCAAAATACAAATAGTGCGCTTTCCCACCAAAATTTTTGGTGGGGAATTCTATATTCTATTATCAAGATTTCAATTTTCATTATTTTGATTCAAAAATTTTTCTGAATGAAATCTTTATGCTTAAAAACTCTTCATTGAAATTTCAAATAAATTCAGTTATAATTTTAATTTTGATTGAATTATTAAAATCGCTCTTTTTGGTGTGAAATTGTGCTTTCCCTCTTCGGTGTCCCATGAGTCCGTGCAACCACTGGTGGTAGCACTATCCGGGGCCTTGAAGGATATCTTGCAGAATAGGAATTTGAAGCCAACAATCTTGATCGTTGATACACTGGGCGGATTTCGAGACCTAAAACAGCTAATTGGCCTGATTGTTTCAAGCTTGACCATCTCTTTTCGTGTTAAGTGGGGGGAGGGGCGGCAAGGTGCTGACACCAGGATTCAGATGATCGAATATCAGATATGTCTATGTATATATGTGTGTGTATTCTTTTTAACACGACCAGACAAATATCTAAATCTAACTGCGAATCTATTCTCTCCTAGAATTCTATATATAAAGATAATACCACCAACCTACTCTATTCTTCCTCCGCCTCAATTCTCGCAAAATCTTCAATGCTCTCCAACAACACCGAACCCAACTCCTTCACACAGGGCGGCACAACCATGGAAAAATGATCTAAACCGAAACGTTAGCATATTTCAAAATTCAAACAACCCAACCAGCAACTCACCAGCATCAACCTTATGAACCTTAACATCCCCCTTCAGCAATAACTCTTCCCACCCATTCGTCCCAAAATCGCTCCTCTTCCCAAAAAACCAACTCTTAAATTCCTCCTCAAAATCCCCCAACTCCATCTCGCTCATATTCTTCCCCCCGCTCCCCGGCCTCATTGCCGCCTTTCCCGTAACCTGGTCGTTCCTCTCCCCCGGATTCGCACTGTCATTCAGCCCCTTACTCGCCCAAATAATATGCGTTTTGCGCGGTGCCCTCCCAGCCGGAAAAGGCACTGCATCGTATTTACAGAGAGCGCGAACGGTGGATGTCAGATGTTGTTTCTGCTGCACCGATAATCCCGACAATAGGTTTCCGCGCCCCACACCGGTGAATATCCCGAAACGCTCGATAAATTCCATGGTTACATCTGCCATAGGAACAGAGACATTGATACGTGTATCTATTATCACGAGCCCGGTGATCGTCTCCCCGACCATGGCTAAGCGATGTGCAATTTCGTATGCGTAGATTCCGCCTGCGGACCACCCGCCGATTAAATATGGGCCGTGGGGTTGGATGGTGCGCATGGCGGTGATGAAGATGTCGGCCATCTCTTGGATGGAAAGAGTGTATTCGTCTGGCTTTTCTAGGAATGGCGATTCCAGGGCGTAGATCTTGCGACCGTGAGGGAGAGCGGGGAAGTGAATGTAGGGTGTTACGGCGCCGGAGCCGTCGGTAGCGAGGAAAAGGGGGGTGGCTTTGGAGTGGGATTTGCCTTGGATGAGGATTACGCGGGATTTGGGGAGTTTGGGTTGAGATTCGGAGGTGGCGGTGTGATATGTTTGGGGGGAGGGGGATCCGTCGAGTTCTTCTCGTGCTGAGGTGATGGTGGAATTGCTGTTGAAGAATGCCGCTGGGAGTTCGGTTCCCGATTGCTTTTTGAAGATTGAGAGGATTTTGATGCTGAGCATGGAATCAACTCCTATCTCAGCAAATTCAGTACTAGGTGTCAACTCGGTGATATCTATTCCTAATTCTGCTGCGACGATCTTGAATAAAGCAGTACTCTGAGAAGTCTCAGATGTGTTTTTTAATTTCTTGTTATTCTGAGCTTGCGTCTGGCTGGATGATCTTTGACGCTTAGCTGTTAGATTCTGTCGTTGTTCCTGTTTGGCCGTTGACTTTGAAGGTGATATTGATATAGTCTCAGAGACACTGCCAAGTTCCCCCTTCGCTTCTACTACAGTGGGAAAATTCGAGAAGAACGCGGCGGGCAGCTCAACCCCAGTTCTCTCTGCTTAATCGCTGGAATTTGATATCGGTGCTTATCGCCACGAGGTTCGTGTCTGCAAAGACATACACGTCATACAGGCAAACGCCTTTGCCGGTTCGCTCTCGAATCGTTGCATAGGCTGTGCACTGTTGATTTTTTGACAAATCGCCCATGATGCTCATGCGTCCAATATTTCCAGCAATATACAGGTCTGTTTTTGGTTTTGCGGGATTGACATTTAGCAACAGTCCTGCGAGATGTACGAGTGCATCTACAATGTATGGACTGTGCGTGAATGAGCCTAGGTCTGGATCCTGTTTAAGAACCATAGTGGCTGCGGCATCCTCGAAGTTTTCTTCTATAGAGATTTCTGATAATGCGTGGTAAGATCTATCGTAATCGACTAGGGTTGAGAAGAGCTTGTAGATCAGGGGTTTAGTTATGTGGTGTGCGGTTTTGGAGTTCTCTAAGCTGCCAACCCTACTTTCGACCAGCCGTTGCATCCGTGACCATTCCGCTTCCTGAACAACATTTCCTTCGTTGACAACAACACGACATGTACCATGTTCTGCCATACTGCTCGAGTTTTCAACGGAGCTAAAAGTAATAGAGATGACCTTTTGCGTGGAGTCAAGATCGGCAGAAACATGAACTATTTGTTCCGTATCTTTCGAATGAACAACAAGCGCTTGCGTCATATTAAGATCAACCAGTTCCAGATTAGCTAAATCTGCTTTGATACCAGCTTGCTCGAGAACGAATTTCGACGCTGTATATGCCATATCGCAGAACACGCTAGCGGGACAGATTGCAACGTCATCTACAACGTGGCCGCGAATGGCTTTGTAGAGATTTGGCTCGGAGACCTGAGATGTGAAGATAGCTGATACGTGAGTGTTATTGATACTTAGAGATTCTAATTTCTGCAGACATGTTGTTGAGAGAGTAGGTTTAGCTTGGGTTTGAGGAGCTGCTGGCAATTGCGCTCGATATGGTACCCAGTAGTCCTTCAAGTCGAGCGCATATGTGGGTAAATCTAATAGTCTGACGCTATTGAGATGATCGGCGTGGAACTCATGCCAAAGTACAGGAAGCTTGGCAACATGTGCAGCAGCGATAGCCTCTGAAATTGTTTTCCAATTATCTTTGCTGCGATGTAGTGACGGGAGACAAGTTGGTTGTGCATCTGATAGACTCTGTGTGATAAGTCCGATACACACTGGATGTGGACCTGTTTCGAGAATGACATCGCTGTTGCTGATAAATGCCTCTGATTCACATGTTCGCACGGCTTTCATGAATGCGACTGGTTCACGAATTTGCCGTCGCAGATAAGTGGCATTGAATACTCCTTCAGAAGTAATCACATCACCAGTCAAGGTTGAAGCGACCGGGATTTTAGGTGTCATGAAGTGTGCTCTCTTCGATGCCACCTCGAAATCATCAAGAATAGGATCCATTGCCTGAGAATGAAATCCGAATCCAGTTGGAAGAAGTGAGGATTGAACTTTCTTCTCCTTAAGCTCAATTCGAAGCGATTGTATCTCCTCCGTTGGTCCACTTACAACCGTGCTAGAAGGGCCATTCAAACAGGAAATTTCACAAAATAGCCGAGTCTTCAGAACCTCTGAGACTTTGTCTTTCGGCAATGCAATAGCTAGCATAGCCGAAGTTCCAGGTCCACACTGCTTCTCCATCAACGTGGCCCGCTTGTTGACTAGAAACAGGGTATCGCTGATGGATAACACCCCAGCAATGCACAACGCGGCGTACTCGCCAAGACTATGTCCGATTACCAAGCGTGGTTTGAGGCCTAGAGACTCCCAGTAATGGGCCAAAGCAACCTCTAACGCGACAATAGCTAGTTGAAGTTGAGCAGCTGTCGCATTTTTCACATCTTGCGTTCCGCGTATGATGTCAATAAAGGAAGCAAGATCTTGACTGTCGCAGAGAGATTGGTACGTATCGAGAGTTTGCTTGAATCTTGGTGAAGTCTCATATAGTATTCTGCCCATTCCAGTGTATTGCACGCTTTGTCCTGTGAATACGAATATAAGTGATGAGCCGGACTTTGGTGGTAGTTCTGGCTCTGTGCTTGAATCAAGTTGCTTCGTTAGTTCGCTAATGTACTCGCATACAAATGCTACTCGGTAGAGCTCATGTTCGCGACGAGCAGTTGTTGTATAAGCCAAATCAGCTATCGTAGTATCTGGGTTCATCTTTAGGTACTGTAGTAGGCGCTTCTTGTTTGCTGCGTGAGAGGTTAAGGTACGAGCAGAAACTGTGATGACGTGATGGGATCGTGGATCAGGGCTTTTCGACACCCTTCGAGGTGCGTCTTCGATTAGGAGACTAGTGTTACCTCCTGCAGCATCAAAAGAATTAACCACGATTCTTCTCTTGCCGTCACCATTTGGTCTTGGAACCAGTCGGCCCTTGCCGTCTGCAATAACAATATTCGATGCTTCCAGGTCAGGAAAATTGTGATTAAGCTTGAAGGGCCACTCCGGCTGCGTTGGGATACTTCCTTCCCTCAAAATCAACAATGATTTAATGAGTGAAGCAATTCCCGCCGCTGCTTCACTATGCCCGATAATCGCCTTCACAGCCCCAATGTACAGCGGATTATCCCTGCCCCGATTCTGCGCAAACACGTTCCTTACCGAATTAGTCTCGACATTATCCCCGGCCTGCGTCCCTGTCCCATGCATTTCCACAAACCCTACATCATGTGGATCCACGCTGGCCTTTCTCAACAGCCTCCCAAACAATGTTTCCTGCGCCTCTTGCCCTGGATACGTTATCGAGGCCGCGCCTGCATTCGAGTTTCTTTCTGTTCCCTTAATCACAGCAAGAATGTTATCATTCTCTCTCGCTGCATCTTCCAACCTTTTCAAGACCACAACGCCGAGCGCTTCGCCCCGACAATACCCATCCGCATCATCGTGGAAAGTCTTGCACCCGCCAGTCGCAGATAAAAATCCACCTTTGCCTAATCCGGAAAACATTTCTGGGGCTCCGAGTAGTGATCCCCCAGCTACAGTTGCCATGTCGAGTTCACGATTATTGAGAGCTTCGCACGCGAGATGTGCACAGGTCAAACTAGACGAACAGGCCGTATCAACACTGTAAAAGCCTCCGCCCCATTTAAAATAATGCGCTACTCGGCCGGGATGAAATGCCCGGTCGAGAGAGGGCAGGTAATGAGTATCGATTCCCATCTGGGCATTGATATCTTTCCAGTCATCGACGGTTTGGCCAAAATATGTGCCGGTTCTAGAGGGATGAGTAGAAGCGCTGGAGTTGCGCGCATACCCTGCTTTTTCAAGGGCTTCGTAGGTGCAGAGGAGGAGGAGTCGTTGCAGGGGATCCATCTGGAGGGCTTCTTTGGGGGAGACGTTGAAAAGTTTGTTGTCGAAGAGGCCGGGGTGGCGGAGGAAGACGCCGTGAGTGGTCAAGAGGGAGTTTTTGGTTTCGCCGGTGGGGTCATGGAAGTCGGAGATGGAGAAGCGAGAGGGAGGAATCTGTTGAGTAAGTATTTGTTTCTATGAGTATTGCGTGCGTGTAGGAGAAAAATTACCGTTTCGTGTAATGCATGTCCGGCTTGTAGCACCTTCCAGAATTCTTCCACATCTTCCGCCAATGGAAAGCGCCCGGACATCCCGATCACGGCAATATCACTCGATCTACCACGTGAGTTTGTGGTGTCTGAACCTTCATGAGACCCGATGTGAGCGCTTATGTGAACGGTGGAGAAAAAAGATGATAATATCTTCTGCACCATCCCCGTATGACTACACGGTCCCAGAGTCGTTAATGTGATTTCCGAATCCCTATCAGGACTGACAATTGAAGCAAGGCCCTCGACTGTCTTGTCGATGCACATCGGTTTATGTGCTATATCATCCACAATCGCGTGGAGAAGTTCGCGTAGCGATACTGCTGGATATGGCAAGCCAGTGCTTACTGAGACGAGTAATGATGTGTGTGGGATTGCGTAGCCGAGAACAGGCGAATCTCCAAGAATAAAGGAGATATCTAGCTGTACGAGATGCGGAGCGTGAACCGCATTGGCTGAGGTGAGTAATTTATGCGGTACGTCAATTGCGGGGCATAAATTTTGCAGTGTAGATGGAGGCCCGAAGACTGTAGTCCACGATTTTGTGGATACGCCTGCGTATGCCCATCTTGGCTTTGGGAAATTCTACAAAGACCAAAGATCAGTATCGTTGTTTCCAGCCTGAAACTCAAAATTTTGGCTTACCTTGTTAAACTCCTCCAATTTCTTCTGTAGGTCCCAAAACTCAAGACCAAACAATATACAGCCCCATGATCTGTGCGTGTCTTCGATACATCGCGATCGCCGGCGTACAGCAACACCTAGTCGCAGACTTATTGCTATGATTTCAGTGCCTAACTTGGCAATTTTACTTGTATCACTCACTGCTGCTGCCACTGAAGCTGCAAGAAGACCGATGCAAAGACCGAGAGAATGTGTATTGTTGTTGTTTTTGGTCAATTTGTGAAAGAGCAAGTCACCAACTTGTATGGTGGTGATGAGAACATAGCCAATCATCTCATCTGGGAACTCTTCTTTGGCATATCGCTCGCCCAACTCAAGAAGATCGTCGAAATGCCCAAACACTCCTCGTTCTTCTGGCAGAAAGGTGGAAAGCTGGCATTGTATGACATCACAGGCAGATCTTAGGAAGTCTCTCAGCTGTGGGTGAGTCTTAGAGTGAGAGAAAAGTGTTTTGAGAGCGGAGAGCTTGTCAACGTGTACATCTCCAAAGAGGAAGATTTGGTGTGTTTGGGCCATGATTTATGGATGGGTATAGTTTCTTTACGGGAGGAGAAGAGAATGGAGTGATATTTCAGGAGGGGAGATTATATTAGAGGGTAGGGTGCGAGTTAGTCAAGTGAGTACTCTGTTTGCAAAAGGGGACTCCAGAGTGAAAAGACGGTGATAAGAGGGGAGTCTGAGTTTACAGGAGTTCCGGTGATTCCATTGGGAAAAGTGTTCCTCCGCGAACCAAGAAGGCTGTACATATAGTGGCGAGGAGGCGCCTGCTCCTGTTCTCGTCTTCCTCAGCTTTTAGTCTTTTTCTTGAACAAGAACATAGAATTGTAGTTCCCTTCTACAGTGTTCCCTAGCAGATAGAGACGAGGTAGTAGGGTCTAGAATGGGCGATGTGAGCTGTGTTGGAAACATGCTAGCTGATTGAAAAGTTTTAGAAAACCATGTAATTCTACGAAATACACACAGGTTCTGTTCAGTAGGCCTTTTGAAGGAAGTGTAGACATTCTACTGCACAGCTTGTACAAGACTTCCTTGAGCGGCGTCTTTGGCGTTAAAAAGCTTGCATAGTACCACCATCATGGATCTTATTATTCCAATAGCGTAGTGCCCTGCATTCAGCGATCTAGATTATTCGACATACGACGGGATGATATACTTTGTCTTCAGCCAGTCTTGGATATTAGATAGCCACTGTGGGATATGTATCCTTTTTCAATATCCCGAGTTTTCAGAACAAACGCGATATCTCACATTGGGTAAGCAATATCGTAAAGGTGTATGAAAAGACGCCTGGTAAGCCATCTGGATTCCTATTCAGTAGTTGCGGCAGTTTGTCTCATTCGTAGAAAATTTGGATATCCTGTGTCCAATATTTCGAAACTTTTGAAGCAAAATTTCATTTTCTAGCGCATTCTCTGCACAATCTCAGCCGACTTTCAGTAAGCCAAATTCAGAGGGGATTCCTGTTCTATCCGCATACTTTTTACTTTGTGGGGTGATATTCCTACCCGGGCACATGCAGTGGAACAATATTCCTTTTTTCCTTGCATATCTGGATCCATTTAAATAATGTATTGACAGAAATATAGCCAGATAATAGAGTTGCAATATATCTTCTTGACACAACTTCAGAAACCAAAAAAAGCAAAGAACAATGATGTAAGTCGTGGCACAACGCCGCTAATTGAGGGGGATCACCCCGTCGAAACTTGAACTACACAACCACGGTGTGTTGGATTAATTTAAAAACTGAAGAATTTCAACTAGAATTTCTCAAACAGTATCAAGAGCTCAGGTTGGAAAGTAGAAATCTTCATGGGAAGGTATAAGGAGACCAGAGTTTTGTGCAGAAATTATAGCACGTCGCGTCGATGGACTTATCGCGATATCAAGCGCGTCACCAACAATAAAAACTATCGCCCATGAGAGAACGTAATGCACTTCTCAAGTGGACTAAGGAATCAATGATCAGTAATTATCTCCTAAGACATTGATTGTTGAATGAAGCAGCTGAAGAACTTTGCATATATGTAACGAAATTACACTTCAGACAATGTGTTACTTGTCTCTTTTGAGCCCTCGCCACAATATTGGATACTCCTGGCCAAAATTCAATTCCACGATTTGTTCAATGATATCCACATCTTAAATTTGCTATTGGGTATTGAATTGAATCCATGTGAATGGCCAGAGCAATGAAAGCAGTACTTGGTGGTGGTTTGACGCGGGCTGAAATGTGGTTCAAGAACGGGGAGTCAAGCAGAAGAACGCATACGTCGTACTTACTTCAGCCACTTGATGTTGCAGATGTTGCAATATTCAGCCCCCCAAAAACGACCTACCGTAACACCATTATATAGGTACTGTAGGATAATTTAAGTTTTGGTGGGGTGGTTAGCGGCGTTGCGCCACAACTTACATTGTCAAATTTATAATCCGATTCTACCGCGTAGACCTATAAGTCCTATATCACTTTTCTACTTTGAAGTATTAGTACTCACACCGAGCCTTGGTGCTGCAAATCTGATCAGGTACTCAGGGTATGCTTCGTTCTGCGTGTATAACCACGTTTCACAGATATAAATTCCAGCAAGGAATCTAGACAACGCCTCCTCATGATCAGCTGTTTATCCTGTTGTAACTCCTTTGTTGATGGAATTTTCGTATCAAATATCCCACTGTGATAGGATAGAATGGGAAGGGTCACGTACATGATCACATGTATCACAGATGTAGAAGCAAACGACATCACTGATGGGAAGATTTAGAGTGCTGCTGTCCCTCTCATGCAGGAATTATGCAGTCAACATCACCCCATAAGAAGACTGAGAGTGTGGTACAGTTTCAAGCCTTTGACGGAAGGGATATCTTTTTTCTCTTTCTCTCTCCTTGGATTTCGGTTTTGAGTTTAATATAAAATGTTCACAATCTTCTATCTTGTCCCTTTATACTCGCAGCTTATTTCGGGAAGATTTACTTTGCTTCATAGACTGATAATTTCTGGTGGAGAAGCATTGTTCTTAATTCGTCTGTTACTTACTACTCATACTATTGAAATCAGTATTTCAAAATGACCAATATGAATAACTCGGACATTGAAGTCAAGATTGAAGAACGAAGTACGAACCTTCCATGGTATCAACTCACTATTCCGTCTGCCAAACTCGATGGAGCAATTCGCGAGTTGCTCGAAGACTACGCGGGATTTCCACCTTCCGAAGTCGAGCCTCATGTTTACAAAATTGTCAGAACTTCCTCTCCTTTGTGATTTTTGGGAAATTAACGATTTTATTCACAGCGTAATCGTGCTTGGAGTATCTTCCCTTATCCTTGCATAGGGGCTTTCCAATTCCTCGACATCGTTATCACATCCTTCCCATACTATCCTACACTCCTCACGCGATTAGCTTCTCCAGGTACCAAGTTCCTCGATCTTGGTTGTTGCTTTGGACAAGTCATTCGACGACTTGTCTACGATGGTGCTCTGCCAGAAAATCTTTATGGTTGCGACTTGCGAGCCGAGTTCTTTGAACTCGGCTATGATCTCTTTAAGGATAAAGACAATTTGAAGAGTACGCTCTTCAAAGCAGATATATTTGATGAGGACAATGTGGATATGAAAAGGCTTGAGGGAGATATTGATGTAATCTATGCCGGAAGTTTTCTCCATATGTATGGATGGGATGATCAGGTTAAGATATGCAAGATATTGGCAAGGGCTATGAAGAAAGAGGGAAGTGTGCTTATGGGTAGGCAGGGTGGAGGCAAAGTTGCAAAAGAGGTAACATTTCCCCTTCACGAAGAGAGCAAGATGTTTGTGCATAACGCGGAGAGCTTTCGAAAGATGTGGGACGAGGCAAGCGAGGCGAGTGGCACAAAAGTGAGTTTTCCGTATATATTTATCTGTCGGTAGCTCTAGACAGACTGAGCTAACCTGGCACAATTTAGTGGAAAGTCGAATGTGAGGAGGTCCAACTACGCAGTGACGATTGGAAAGGAGCGGAAGGGATGGTTTGGGTTCAATTTGTTATCTTCAGAGAATAGGTAGATTTTCTTATATTTTTCGAGAGCCTAAACTGAGCTATAAAAAATATAGAATATACGAGTTACATCCAACCAATCAATTTGGTGGGTGAAGATTACAGACTTTTACATTAGCAAAAGAGTAATAGAGATTACATTTTTTGCAACAAAGTCATCTACATAATAAGGCTGTGTTATGACATCCCCAATTTCCTCATCTAAGCTACCGAGTGAAAAGAATGATTTGAGTAACTTTCTAGCGAAAGGAATTGGCTCAGATGTCCCATAGCCTGGAGTTCCACAAATTATCTCAAGACGACAGAGTAACCGTTGGTTATACAATTGAATTTACTCGTGAAGCTGGAGGATCATACCGGCGAAGCAATTCACCAAAACTCAGGTATCAACATGTACAAGCCTCATTTGCAATACTTGATCATGTTTCTTATTCCTTTCGCTGATATTAATTCATTGGCCACATTTACCTTATTACGCGCTTTGGTTTTCTTTACCTAGGTATTTCAGCCTATAATCAATTATGTGTATGGTCAGCTGTCCCGGGGTATCTCTACTTGCGAATAATTATAGCGGCCTGTTAAGACAACTTCAAATACATTATATATATTATTTTTATCTCCTATATAATCTTCTTATTCAATATTTAAACCCTTATATATTTTATATAAACTTTCATACTCAAAATATAAAATCCTTAATCTCAAATATTTGAATTTATTCTTTATATCAATTCAATTCAAATATAATTTTTTTTATTTCTGAATAAAATTTTTATTTCTAATTTTTTAATAAGTTTTATTTCTAGGTTTTTGATACTAGGAAGATAGTTTCATACTATTAATACTTCTCTTATGACTTTTCTAGATATTTTAAAATCTATATTATAATTGTCAGGGAGCGATCACCTGATACTAAGTATATATAGTAGATCCACTATTTCAAATATATTCGAAACACTCCACGCTTTTATGAGTTAGTAGTAAAGTGGATCAACCCTAATAATAATTTATTCTATTAAAACTTTATTTAATATTCAAATTGATAAGCTTAAAGCTATATTAAAATATTTAAAATATATAAATAAAATTTAGATTATATTATTATACTCAAAGTAATAAAACTATTGAATAAGCTTCTATAAATATTATAATTATTTTTATCATACTTGTAACGAATATCACGTGACACACATGATGACTCATCACGACCTAGTTCAAGACTAGCTTGAACTAGACGTATATAAGAGATAAAGAGATCCCTTAAGGATCTCTTTCCTCTTTAGCTTTCTTATTCTAGTTATTTGATCTCTATAATGTGCTCTAGTATGTGATCGTGATAATACTTTGTTTTAAAATAATTATTAAAATAGAATATAAATCATTTTTAGAATTTTTAATTATAAAAATGGAAATTTAGGATTTAGAGAGTATTTAGTTTTATTAATTATATTGTAAAATAAAAATAATATATAATAAATACTTGAAATTATTCTAATATTTTAAATGATATATTTTATACATTGAATAAGAAGATTACATGAAAGATAAGAATGTTTATATATAATGTATTTAAAGTAGTTGTTTCAATGATCTACTATAATAATAAACAGTCCTACAGGTCAGGGATTGTTTATCTACATATCAACTCGCACCTACAATTGTAACGTGGCCGCACTTTACATCTTATATATTTTTTGCGATCTTTCTTTCAATGTGAATCCTATTATCTCATTACTCGAATTACTCTATTGCTTATTTCAGTTTACAATTATTATATCCTCTCCTAAATTTTTGTCGAGATTAGTTTCAATCACGCATTTCTTTTTAGAAGGCTATCTCATTCGGACTGTGTACTCCATAGCCTTGTAAGAAATTTCTTGAATTCCTGCCGTCACTCTTCTGAATTACGATATCAGCTCTTGCAGTAAGCATGTCAGGCATTGGTGAAGCAAGCCTTGTCCTCGGTATAATCTCTTCGATAATTTCAATTATCGAGACTACCAAGCAAGTCTACGATGCTATTGAGGATGAAGCCGGTCTCCCAAAGAACTTCAAGAAATCGGCGACAAAACTCCCTCTCATCTCCCAGCTTCTTGAAGATGCTGAAAGATATTTCAACACGGCAACGGATGAGTTGATAAAAGCTGCGTTTACACCTACTTTAGAGAATTGTGAAATTCAGGCTATACAACTCCAGGCTATACAACTTCAGGAGTTGTTTGAAAAAGTCATGCCAAAAGGCAGTGACTCGAGATGGGATCGATATGTAAAAGCTGCTCGGACAATTGGAAAGAAAGGACGTGTGGAGAGTTTGATCGGGGGAATTTTGGACGACCTGCAGCTCTTGGCAACTCGCTTTCCACAAGTAATAACATCAAGAGGAAAAGAAAAGTTAGAAAATGCAATTGAGGAGGTTGCTAAGATGGAGCCTTCTTTACCTGATGGTTTCGAGCAGATGCCTGCGTATGCACACTATGGAAGTGGTGCTCAAAACAACAATACTGGTGGTGGAACTCAGAACAACAACAATAGTGCGGGCAACCAGAACAACGGCCCAGGTCAACAGTTCATTGGTACCAATCACATCAGTACGCCTTCCAATTCGTAGTTATAGCATAAATAATTTTGTAGTTGATAAACGTTGTAGCTAAGAATGCCACTGTCGATGATATTAATCGATCTTGTCTCCACGATTTGCAATGTCCTGATACGTTGGCTGTTAAGAGTCGGCTGAAAGAGAATAAGGACAAGTTGCTCTATCAATCTATTGACTGGATTCTTCAAGACCCGCAATATATCAGCTGGAAATGCGGAGGCGATGTCTCTTTACTGTGGATTAAGGGCGGCGCCGGCAAAGGTAAGACCATGATATCGATTGGTCTTATTGAGAGACTATCATTCCCACAAGATGAGTCGACCGTGGTGACTTATTTCTTCTGTCAAAATGCCGATTATGAGCTCAACACCCTTCAAGCAATCATCAAAGGTTTAATCCTACAATTGGTGAATCAACAAAAGGAGCTAATCGAATATCTGCGAGACCACTGGGATACCAGAAAGGAGCGTTTTAATAAAGAGATGACGTCGTGGCGAACGCTATGGGACATCTTTTACAAAATGTTATACCGATGCAAGTGCCCAAAGATATACGTGATCGTAGATGCCCTGGATGAGTGCCAAGATGATGGCATGGCCGATCTCCTAAAGCTCGTTGTACGAACAGGACTTGATCATCCATCAAAAATCAAATGGCTGTTAACAAGTCGGCCACTGGATAGTGCTGAACAGGAGTTACTAGTTGGACGTGAGCAAGTGATGATCAGCTTAGAACTTAACTCAGCGCATATTTCTCAGGGTGTAACAACTTATATTGTTAACAAAGTTGCTGAGCTCGACCGTCGTAATTCTTATGGATCAGATCTATGCCAAAAGATACAGAATGAGCTCACTGAAAAGGCCGAGGACACGTATCTATGGGTAAGCTTGGTATGCAAGAGACTCGAGAGTGTGCATCGGGAGAACACATTGACTACAATTCAAGACTTGCCGCCGGGTTTGCATCTTTATTACAATCGCGTACTTCATGAACTCAGCAAAGGTCAGCCTGCCGTTGTGAAGGGATGCATGCGATTATTAAGAGTGATGATGCTGGTCTATCGGCCTCTGAATGTAGTGGAAGTGGATAGCGTTTTAGGTCTGTCTAAAAATGATACTGCTAGAGTGCTGGATCGATGTGCTTCATTTTTGAAGGTGCGAGGAACTGATATCAAATTCGTTCATCAATCAGCTCGAGACTACCTCGCTGGGGAGAATGGAAGATCTATACTCGATACTAGTGAATTATATGGGCATAATGATATCGCAGTCAGTTGTCTGTCTTATTTGTCTCAAAACCTCAAGACTAATCTTGTTGACTTACCGCGACCTGATTCTACTCGGAAGTCCATAGAAGGGAACCAACTAATGGCTAGCCTGGACTACGCAGCTACGTTCTGGGCACAACACCTTGAAGGCGCCAGGGAGGAGACACCAATACAAAACTCATCTATTGAACAAGGTGTAGTCGGTACATTCCTCCGCTCCATGTTTTTAGAGTGGCTAGAGTGTCTGAGTTTATTAGACAAACTCTCACGCGCTACTGAGGCGTTAAAAATGTTAAAAGATATAGCAGACGTGAGTAACATATGTTCGATGTCCCGAATTATTTTCTAATCGAAGACTTTTGTAGTTAGAGAAAAACGTTTCCTTATCGATGCTGGTACAGGATGCCACCCATTTTTTGTCTCAACACTACCGGACAATAGAGAATTGGCCGTTACAAATCTATAACTCTGCGATAGCTTTCAGCCCTGAAACAAGCATAATAAGGAAGAGCAATCTGAGTAAGCTTCCTGTGTGGCTCAGAAAACTCCCTCAAGCGGAAGACTCGTGGGCTTCTTCAATACGAACGCTCACAGGATATTCCGACTCGATTATAGCTATAGCATTCTCGCCAGATTGCAAGCAAATCGCTTCTGGATCTGATGATAAAACAATCAAGCTATGGGATGCTATAACTGGTAATCTTCGAAAAATATTTATAGGTCATTCCCACTGGGTTACAGCTATAGCATTCTCCCCAGATGGTAAGAGAATCGCATCTGGATCTTTTCATGGAATTATCAAGCTATGGGATGCTATTACTGGCGATCTTGAGAAAGTAATTACAGGTCATTCCCACTGCGTTACAGCTATAGCATTCTCGCCAGATGGCAAGCAAATTGTGTCTGGATCGGACGATAAAACTATAAAGCTATGGAATATCGCTAAATTCCTCAAAGTCTCTAGAATGTTTGGTAGCAGAGTTGGTCGTCGGATTGATTTCTGCAAATGGCAAGAGATCAAGACCTCACAAATAGTCGAATTTTTAAGATTCTCTACAGACGGCCGCCACCTTGTAACAGATATCGGTCCTATTAAGATCAAAAACATTATAAAAAATATGCAAAGTCCTGATTGTCAGTCATTACAACCCCTATCGGTTAGCCGGGGGTGGATTCACTACGGAACGATGCCTATAATTTTTTTACCGTCGTATTCTCTTGAATCTTGTTATGATACAATAGGCGATCAAGTGGCTATCGGGGTTGCTAATGGTCAAATTTGGAATTTTGATATTGATCGAATGAGCTTGAACTCAATACTCAAAAGCTCAATTTTCCTTCCACCACTATCGTATGAGAGACATCGCGTGCATTAATCACGACAACCCAAAATACGATTACTCGAGATTATTATCGGATTTAGATGGCCCGAGAATCAGGTCTGATAAGGTGCTAGGTATGAAGGATCCATCAACCAAATAAGGTTATCAGAGGAATGAATATGATTCCTACTATCTAATTATTGTTATTAAGTCATTCATTTGTATATATAGCCATCCCCATCTACAGATACTCTTCGCCTATAGATTGTAAGTAAATACGATTGCTAGAGCAAATAAACAAAACTGTATTGAAGACTTTCCTTGGATTTACTATTGTTTAATATCGGAACACTTTCACTTCAGTTTTTCTCTACTTCCCAACCTCCAATCATAGATTTATAAAAGATTTTGATTCGCCACTAGTCCATTACCTTTAGAGGTTTAAATTATATACTTTTATTCTTGTGATTGATTTTTAATTGATTTTTGAACGAGGGAGTTGAGTTGAGATCTTTAATAACTTTTTTACAAGGACCTGTTTTTATTGAATACCGAATCCATACACTCATACAAAATACTTTAATAATGAGATTTCGTTTTTACCCCTTAATTTTTAAAAAATTAATAATAAATCAACTATTCAATATAATTTATTAAAAATACTTTGAAAGTATTAATATAGTTATAGAGTATATATACGACTTTCGAAAATTAATCGAAAAGAGATTCCTAATAATATTAAACAAACGATTATATATATAAATAGAAAAACCTCTACTCAAAAAGAAATAGTATATTAAGACAATCGATATTCTAAAAGATTGATAAGAATAATACAACAACATATACAAAAACAAACTGAATCGAATAATATATATAATAAACCTAGAAAAATACTATTAGCTAATATATCGAACATTAAGAATTCATCGAATCGAGATCAAAAACCTAAACTTTCTGATATCAAAAAACAAATGTTAATTATTATAATTAAAGTATCTCGAAATAATAAAATACTATCCACAAAATAATATACTTCGAATTAAAACACTAATACAAAAAATAGAATCTCTTTATTAACTTTTTGAAAAGTTATATACAAAAACCAGCTTTTCTATACTATACCTACAAAAAAACCTCAATTGAATACAGGATATTGAAAAAAGAGAATTAGAGGAGTTACAGAATTACTTGATATATTGAAAAAAAACCCTGAAAGAATGAATTTCGTTGATACGACTATAATATACAATTTCAAAGAAAATTGTTGGTTTGAGAGAGATACGGAAGACGTGGTTCCCATTATGTGTAGACCTCTAAATATCTATTTGTATTTAATCTAAGGAGCTAGTTAAATGAGAGAAATAATAAACCTTATATAGGCATTATTAAAAAAGCTAATCTCCTTTACTTTTATTTAATAATCTTAATATAATTGTTTTTGTATTGAAGTAAATCCTTTAAAATGAATTCTTTTAAATAAATTCCTTTATCTATATACTCAAAATTCTTTTTTATAGTTTCAAATATAATGGTAAAAAAGAAATATGTAAAATCATAAATATCCTTTATTTGTTAATTAAAGTTTCTAACCTTTTATTAGTAAAATCAATTCCTTTTTTTCTTTAATCCCATTTTATTTATTTTATTATTTTGATATCAATTTTATTTGTATTAATCAGATTAGTAAAAGTTTGATATAGTTTTCTTTTTATTATCGTATTGATCGGATTAGTTGGATTATTAATTCAAATTACTTTAACAATTTCTTTTTGTTTATAGGATTGATATAATACTATAATATTAATTATTAATCTCTTTTTATTAATTATTTCCAGCTTTATGAGTAGATTGTATAATAACTTGAAATCAATATATAGAATTAATAAAATCTTCTTATCAAGAATAGTATTAATTGTAAAAGTGATTGTTGTATTAATATCGAATCTCTAAATTAATCTATATAATTTGGATATTAAAATGCTATATATAATTTTTTTATATTTAATAAATAATTAATAAATAATATTAATATTGTTGTATTTATCTATTATTATAATTATATAATTTATTTAAAACGAATAATCTTTATTGTTTATAAAAAAGATATCAGTAAAAATAATAATCTTAAATAAATCTAAATTAAATAATATGTATTTGAATTTTTTAGCAAAGTTTTCTTTTTATTACTTAATATACTTATTTAATACTGTAATATTATTCTTACCAGATTGAATTATTTACACTACTATAAATAAATCGAAAAATACTTTGGGTTAATATATAATTATAATATATACTCCACGAGTTTGTTATGTAATATATTATTCTTATATAAAAGTATATTTTCGAATTTTGTTATATATATTATATATATCTATAGACTTTGTAAATACAAATTGCAAATTGTTATATTACTTTTTTTAATCGAAATAAATATTATTATCTTTAAATATAAAAGTAATATTATTAAATTTTAATAAATAATTATAAATAAATTCCTTATAATCTTTAACCATAAAACCAATCTATTTGAATTGATTATTCTTAACTTATATAAATATATTATTTCTAATAATAAATATATTATCTATTTGAAATTCTACAATATCAAATTTAATCCCTTTATTATTAATATACAAAAAATAAGAATTATATGTAAATTATTACATTTTAAGCTTTTTACAATAATAGATATAATATATCCGGAATTAATGATTTCCTGTCTTAGGAATATTATATAATAGTTTAATAATTAATAAAATCATATTAATTAATAAATTTATCTTTTTTGAAATATAAATATAAAAAGTATAATATAAGTTTAAAATAAATTAAGTATATATCTAAATGATATTTCGAATATACACTTTTATATCTATCTTTCAAATACTTACAACTAATAAAACTAAAATATATTAATATAATTATTAGATTATCAGAAATTATATCAATACAAACATTTTATCAATATTATTATATACTTGAATAATTAATCTCGATTTACGGAATTCAGTATTTATTCCCTTGTTTTTGATTTTATTGATAAATCGTGATTTGAAAATATATGTATTAAAAGGAATATTTGAAAATAATATAATCTTGAATATACCTTTAGCTATCAATCTATCAATTTCTTTTTTTTTAAATTCCTTATATATAATAAAATCTTTAGAATTAATAATAAAATATTCGGGGTAGTAATTCTGTATATAAACTTGAATCTGAGATATAATTATTTACAAAAAAGATATCGAAATAGAAATTTAATCATTCTTAAATAAATCTAAAAAAAATTCTTTTAGATTTATTGTATACATAATTATTAAAAAAAGCAATATAACTTTGCTAGATTTTGGTAAAATTATCTCAAAATCAATATTATAATCAAGTTCCTCAATTTTTTCAATATATTTAGTTTTTAATTATTTATAACATAGTTTTATCAATATAGATCTAAATCTTATAAATCCATAAGATAGATTAAAAATATATATCTCCCTTTTTATATTAATAAGTAAAAAAGGTTTTTTTTATTTATTAATAGTTATTCCATTACCCTTCTTTTAGATCAAAACCTTGCTATTTAGTAATAAATCATAAAATACAATCATAGAGAATCTATTATATATATTCAAGATTTTTTGTATTTATATAGAATTATATAATCTACAAACTTTTATTATAGTTTTAGAAATTGTGATAGTATACTGATAAATAATAGGTATCAGAAAGCTAATATCAATTATATAAGGAAATATTCTAAAAATGAGTAAAGTAGGCATCAAACTATTAAATCCAATAATATTATTAATTACCTTTATAACTATCTGGAGTATAATTATTTTACAAATATCGAATTTATAAATTTCTTTATAAATAATTTTATAAAATCTATACAATAATACATAAAAATTTTCAATAATATCAATTGAATAATGTATTTTTATAGAAATTATCTTTATTTAAATGAATATTGATATAATATATTATTAAAACTCTTTTCCAATAAAGTTGATACTAGTATTATAAATAATATACTTTAATGGATTAATATATATATCAATCTAGTATTTACAGAGTTTATTTTATATATACTTTACAGATACATTATTCAGCTATTAAACAATTTAAAAATATATAATTTTATCAATAATATACAAAATCGAATTATTATTGATATAAAGTATATTAATAAATATAATATAATTGAATTCAAAATCTTTATCAAATAAAGAAAATTTGAATCTGTTAAGCAATTTATTATAAACTTGATAATAATAACAAAACTTAATAAATTATTTAATCACTTTAAAATCTTTATTATATCTAAAGTATTTAAATACTTTATAAAATTTACACACAAATAAATAGCCAAACTAATAATGAATTCGTTGTAGCTCAACTTTAATGAGATAGTAATTATTATTATTAATAAAATAATTAATTAATTCTTTAATATTAATATTCCAAAACAGAAATATATAACCAAATTATCGATATATAGAATAAATATCTTTAAATATAATAACAACATTATTAAGATTGTTATACTTAAATCTAAATCTATCTATATCGATTAAAAAAAGCAAGAAGGAAAGATTAGTTTCTATTATATTCTATTCTATTTCTTTAAATGGAAGTTTAATGTAAAACGAATTAATGGGAATTATTACTCTAATATCGTACTAAATTATTATCTGTCTAGTAATAACTATATTATATTTAATATTCTTGATCTTTTTTTATATTAAATATTGATTATATTTAACAAATAATCTCTTAGCCGTATTTATATTAATTATAATACTAAAGAATATATCAGTATTATATCACTTAT